CCTTTCTTTTTGGCCTTTGCAAATTCGATATCGCCTTTCAATTGACATTTCTGGGTTAAGCTTTGAAAGAGCATTGGGCTAAATGTAATTGGCTTAATTTAAAGATAATAGATAATGCTGAAAATAAAACTGAAAACCGGCTAGAAAAAAAATTTACCATGTGGACTTTTTTTCCCAGCCGGCAACAAAAACAAGAATGAGAGAGAGGGAGAGAGAGCAGTGAGAACTTCCATGTGGATTGTGTCGGTTTGTAACAGCTGTTATTTCGATTTCAGGCCGGCTTTTACTCTCCGGCTCGGCTCTCTTTAGCCTTCTCTCACTCTCTCTCCCTTTTTGCAGCATCCCACACACACATACATGTCCGTCCTATCTCTCTCGCTCTGGCTCTGCCTCTCTCTGTTTCTCAACTGCCTGCTTAATACACAAAATTCGTGTATTTTTTTTACTCAATTGCAATTGTTGTTGCTTAACACCTTGTAGTACAACACACACATACAATCGTATTTTATTTATTGGTATTTATTTCACTTGTCCCTGCTTTTCTACTGCGCATGCAAAATAATGTGCAAAAAGAAAGCGAAACTTTTTAGCATTTCAGCTTTGTGTGGGTGTTGCTTCATACATATATGTATGTGTTTGTGTGCGTGAGTGTCAGTGTGGCTGCACAAATAATAAATGCATAATTAATGAGCATGTAAATGCATATGGACATTATAATTAATTAATAACAGTAAATTGGCATGCAGTTATGCTGCAAATTTAATGCAAGCAATTAAGTGCATTCGATTGGCAGGGGAACCAGAGAAGAATAGTGATTTTATTCATGCTTCCGGTTAAATATTCCTATGGGGGGAATTAATATTTAATTAAAAGTGCACGCATCTTACTTTTTGTGGAAGGTAACACTCTTAAATTAGTGTGACCAAGCTATGTTGGATGCTTATTTTTCTGCTTTTAGGAAAAGAATAAAGAGTTTTGAACAATGCTGAAATATAATAAATAACTTTAGGTATATTATAAATATTTGTAGACTAATTTGAAATTAATATTTACGAATTTATTTATATATTCGAGAATTGTCTTAAGCTTTTGCTTTTTTTATATATTTGTAAACTTGCAAAATCTCCTGAAATATATGTGCTAAAAAATGTTATCTTTGCTGAACTCTTTGTTTTGATTTTAATTTATTTACCTTTACTAATTTGAAATTAACACGGCCCAACTGTGGGCTTCGCTATCAAAAGTTGCCTAGCCGCATTGCGTGCCTTGAGTCGCTTGGCTGACTTCTCTCCCACTCGCACACCACCCCCAATCACGCTCCCCATCTATTTACTTGGCCTCTACGCTATGTTTCTAGCCTTTTCCTTTATCAGTCACTCTCTGAGAAGTGAAGTAAAGTAAAAGAAAAGAAAAACAATAAAAACAAAGAAACAAGGCAAAGAATAGCACAGAAAAGCTATTCTACTTATTTGTTGCTGCGCTCTGTTGCGTCAGTCTGGATTGCAAAGAGAGGGAGAGATAGATAGAGTGATACAAGGAAAAATGGAATATAACAAACACCGAAAAACAACAAGTTGTTATTTATTTATTTGCTGTGTAGGCCACCAAAGCGCACACATTTTCAACGATTTTTCATTCGTCACATTGGGTGTTTTTCATGTTCATTTCCCTGTTTGCATAATGTTGTTGCCAATGTTTGCTTTACCTTGTGGGCTGCTTCGCTTTTGGTTGTTAAACTTTTTTTTTTTTGTATTTGTGTGTGTGCAGAGATGATAACTGACAAGTGCACTTAGAAGTTATTTTTTAAGTAAAGATACAGATACACTGGCAAGCGAAGTATTTGTTATAGTTGGAAAATATTTAATGCAAATACAAACAAGAAAGAAAACTAACCTCGAGAAGCCGAAGTTGATATACCCTTACACTTTGCCATGGATTTATAGGGTTTGTTTAAGCCAAAAAAGTAATTGTTTTAATTAGAAAAGAATTTAACAGAAGCTATATTTCTCTCAGAAAAGCTTAATTTTTGTGGTTCTTAATTTTCGTTTCATATAAAATCTGGTCTTGCATGCGTGAATTATTTTTCCTGCTAAATTGTGTTCTTTTGGTAATTTTATACCTCTCACTGTAATTTTAGATGCAAAATCTCTGATAATATTTCCAGCTACTTGTTCGCATTTTGCGTGCCGATCAAAAGAAATTTTAAATTGGAAATTTCAATCGGCGAAGAGCGACCTACCTGGTTTTAATTTTGTTTTTTCTCCTTTACCCTTTCTTGTCGCTGTCTTTTTTTTTTTTGGTTTACCTTTTGTCTGGCCCACATCATTTTGCACGAATATATTTAAACATTTCTTTTGGCGGTGCTCCGAAAGAGAGGGGATAATAAAAGGGGTACAAGAAAGAGAAAGAGAGAGAGAGGAATGTGCGACTTCCATGTATAGGACTTGAATTACCTGAGCTCATTCGTCTGTAAGCAGATACCGTTTTTTTTTCCTCAACTCAAGCACACACAAACACATTAACACACGCTTGAAAAATCACTGCAAAGCTTTTGGCTAATATAGAAAAGACTGGAGGGGGGGAATCGAGTTGCCGCCAACGCCAAGTGAGTCGGAGACGTCTGGCAAGAGCACAGTGGCTTAATATTTAATATCAATACAAAGTAAAGGGTAGCCACTAACCAATCTTGTGATTTTGTATAAAGGAAACGAAATATAACAAGTGATGAGCCAGACAGCAAGTGCAATCAAATGATCATATGAAATGTGTCGCAAAGTTAAAGTTGAAGGAATTGCTATGTTAAATGTAAAATACAATTTCGAGGTTGATTTGTTTAATACTTTAAATTTTAAGCAATTGTTATCACTTTCCCTAGTTAGTTGACCTTGAGGCAGGTGAACTTTTGGCCAGAAAGTTTCTATGTGTAAAGACCACTGTGCAAATGACAATTTCCATTGGTTATATCTTACCTGTCGCTTTTGCCATTCCAATTTCTTGCAAATTTCAGCAAATTCCATACGACATTTAAGTGGGGCTTTGCTGGTTCATTTTACTTTTTCCACAATCTTTCTTAATTTTTTGTTCCAACATGTAGAACAATTATCAGCTTGTCAGCTAGTGGAGTTGAAGAGGAAACCGCATAGTTTTGCGGTTGCCATTCCTTGTTTTTTTTTCTTTATTTCTTTTCTATTTTATTTTGTTTCGCATAACTCATAACAGCGTTCTGTTTGGTTAACAGTTTCTGTTATGCAAATTAACATTGCATGCAGGGCCGAACGCTAATTGCCATTTTTACCTGTTCGCTCCTGTTTGTTGTTATAGGTGTTGTTGTTGTTGTTGTTGTTGTTGAAGCTGTTGTTGTTATTACTCGTCGTTATTCTTATTTTTACGCTCATTTGAGCATTTTAATTTGTTGTTGTCGTCTTCTTTTCCATTCATGCTCACTTTAGCCGCGAATGGGGCCAACATTCCTCTAATGAACTTAAAGCCAAAGCCAAGCTTGTGGAACAAGAGGTGACAGGTATACACAGGCAGAAAAAACCTGTTCCTATGATGTTTTAATTAAATTTTCATATGTGAAAAGTATATTAACAAATTCTTTTGAATGAAAATAATATTAAAGTGTGAATTACATGTAAATATAATGAGGTCAGGAATTCAGAATTATGTGTTAATTTTAATCTTTGTAACCTTTTCCCTCAGTGTATATTTTCTAAGCTGTGACCGACACTCGCATTTTGCCAAAAGCGGTTGTAGCCCGGCCGTTGTTCAGTAGTGTAGTAACGTTATTTTCTTCTTTTTACCTGATGGTTTTTCCTGTTTCTACCTTTTGCCTCTGCCTGCTTACCTTCTGTTTGCTCGCTTGCTTTGCCTTCTCTTTTGCGTTTGTCGCTTTTGCCTTCTGATTCTTTGATTCTTCCTCTTTCACGCTGCGAGACGGACATATTGATTGTTTAATATTTTATGCTGAGTTTATTGACATTTCGTTGGCGAACTTTTAAGCGCGCGCGGTCTCTTCTTGGTTTCAGAAATAGTTTTGGCATGCTTCAGAGCGGCTTTTTTCCCCCCTCTGTGTCCACTATCGTTGTTAGCCGAAATACCTATCCGGTTCGGTTGTTGAGCACCTCAGGCATTATAGTAGTTTTTCTTCATTGACATTCCTTGATAGCCTTGAGATTGGGTACTTTTAGTGTATAAAATACAATTGTTAAAGATTGGTTGAAAGGGCTCTAAACTCGAGTATTCAGTGCTTTTTTTTTTGCGAAATGAGGTTCGTTTAAAAATTGGAATAAGAAAATAAAATAATGTAACTTCCTAATTATATTTATGGAACTCAAATCAATGTAAAATGGTGTCAAAAAGTATGCTATGATATTATCTTTCATAGAAAATAACAATTAATTGCATTGCTTAATTTTTTGCAGCTTTCTAAAATGATTTCACATTTTAAGCTATAACTTATTTTATTATTATTTATTTATAATATTTTTGGCAATTAAAATCGCTCAAAGATTTTATATAATAACTTAACTGTGTTTGCAGTGCTTTATGGTTATCAGTAAAAAAGACAGTTGCAAAATTGTCAGTTTGCTGTTATCACATTTAAGCTGATCTAGTTTGGTAAAAAAAACGAGTAAATACTCGTTTATTTACCAGTTTTTACCATCTCACCTGGCTCTTTTAATACTATTTTTTATTACTAATTTTTTTATTTGTAGTCGAGAAATTGTTTTCTTTTTTCCCATTGCCTTTCATTTTGCATTTATTTGCATTTCCACATACACCCCACATTCGTTCGTGCTCGATGGCCGCTCGGTGCGCATTTTAAACTGGAAACAATAAAAAAACAACAGAAAACAGATCAAAAGTTTAATGTGCCAAATGCATAAAATATTGGAAAAATCGGGTCAAATTATCTATAAATAATCGCCAATAAAAAACGCACACACACATATTATATTATATTTAACCTCTATTTTGTTTGTTCTTGTTTTTTGCAGATGTGAAGAATCCTTAGGTGCTAATTTAGTTGATAAGCGCAAAGTGAAAGAGAGAACGAGAGAGAGACAGCGGGAGAACGGGAGAGAGCGATACACAGGCAGTACAATAATAATTGAGCTAAAGAGCAGATTTCCCACTGGGTGGCAACTTTGCAAAGGCAGTGCTCAAAAGTATGCTACATTAAAATGAGGCGAACTTAACAGCAGCAACAACCGAACATAAACCAACACACATACACATAGAGAGAGAGGGAGAGAGAGAGCAAGAGTGATACGGAGAGAGTAAACGAGAGGGAGAGTGGAGAGAACTGCAGCGAAATGTCCAAATTCTTTCTGACTGTTGCACCCAACAACAATAGCAGCAATAATACCGGCAGCAACAACAGCAACACACACCAGCGACACCACCACCACCACCAGCAGCAACAGCAACATTATGGCGGCAGCGGAAACGGAAGTGGGTCCACGGGCCACCATCCGCTGGTTGCACGCAAACTCAATTACGATCTGCTCGGCGGCCAGACCAACATTAACAACAATAACATTGTGATCAAGAACGAGGCCCTCGATCTGGATTACGATCACGGTCTAATCAGCAGCGACAGCAACAGTAACAGCAACAACAGCCACAGTCACAGCAACAGCAACAGCACTAGCAACAGCAACAGCAACAGCAATAGCAACAGCAACAGCGGCGTGGCAGCACATCTCCGGGATCATGTATACACGGGGGCAGTGGCAACGGGGGCAGCAGCAGCAGCAGCAGCGGCAGCGGGACAGGCGACGCAACTGCAGCATCAGCAACAGTGGAAGGCGACCGGAAAGTCCAATGATATCACAAATTATTACAAGGTAAGTTACATGAGTAAATTCTTTAAAATTTATATTAAAATGATTTTATTTTCCTACATAAACCAGGTCAAGCGTCGACCGCACGCCGTCACCGATGAGATCCACCCGAAAAAGCAGGCCAAGCAGAGTGCTCATCACCAGACGGTGGTGTATCAGAAGCATGTGGCCAGCAGCACGCCCCAGCAATTGCGACATACAAGCAGCCATCATGACGGGGATTCTGTCGATCTGGACGAGGATGTGGTTGTGGAGCGTGGTGCCAAGGTGGCATCATCATCGCTTCACTCTTTTGCATTGTCAACGCCCCAGCAGCAACTGGCCGCTTCGGTGTCAATCTCATCGAGCGGTGATCGCAATCGAGCGGACACATCGCTGGGTATTTTGACCAAAAAGTTTGTCGATCTGCTCCAGGGATCACCTGACGGTGTGGTCGATCTAAATGAGGCCTCCAATCGTCTGCATGTCCAGAAGCGTCGCATCTACGATATCACCAATGTCCTCGAAGGCATCAATATACTGGAGAAGAAATCAAAGAACAATATCCAGTGGCGAGGAGGGAAATCGATGGTCAGCCCGGAGCGATCGCGTCGCATTGAGGCCGAGTCGGAGCGTCTAGAGCAGCTGGAGAATGAGCTGAATATGGCCATTGATCAGATGCGAGGAAATCTCGCTGAGATCTCGCAGGAGGTGGAGAATGCCGGTGGCATGGCCTATGTCACGCAGAATGACCTGCTCAATGTGGATCTGTTTAAAGATCAGATTGTTATAGTGATCAAGGCGCCACCAGAAGCCAAACTTGTGGTGAGTACAAATATTATTTGGTTTGATTGATTTCATTCCCCCTACTTTTATTTCTGTACCAACAGCTCATATCTTTTGTGTCGACGTCAGAGCTTTTCCTGACTTTTCTTTTCGGTTTCTTTTTTTTCCTATTCAACGTCGCTGCTTCTTCTTAGCGTCTGCATGCCATTAAACGTGGCGATTATTTATAGACGCGGCAGACACGACGACAGGCGAAATTGGAATCCCTCCCATTTGTGCGCGCCCCCTCCTTCTGTTGGCCATATTCCTTCCTTTTTGATATCAAGTAAATCTCTCTTGGCCACGCCAACAAAGTTTTCTCCAACGGTTCTATTGCTGTTGCTGTTCAATCTTCTTAGTGGATGCTGCACTATTTATAACAAAAAATATATACAGAAGCGAGCGCTTAATGTTTCCGCTTGCCTTGAACTGTTTAATGAACCCTCTCTCTTGCTAAAAAAAAATATATATATATATATGGAAGAAGAATTGTTCATTGCAGAGTTTTGCCTAGAAATCAAGATTTGACTAGTAAAAGTTATGATAATTTGTATATAGATGAAAAATCCTCTGGCAACGCTGTTTGAAGAAGTAAAATAAAACAGAAATAAAGTAAAAGAAACGAACACAAGATGACGGGGGGCGGCAAAAGCAAAATATCATTTCTAAAAATAATCGAGCGGCAAAAAAAATAATCACTGCTCATTCTCACTGGCCGCCGCTTCATTTGTGTTTCTCTTTAGCTGCGAAGCGGTCGGCGACCGCTTAAAAATTTCTACAGCTTGCCAAAAAAAGTTAGTTTGTGTTTCCCGTTCTTCGCTTTTTATCGCTGTTTTTTTTTTTGTGATTTTTTTTTATGGAATTTTAATTAATAATCTTTAAATTTGCTTTTACAGTTGCCCAACACAAAGTTGCCGCGCGAGATCTACGTTAAAGCGGAGAATAGCGGGGAGATCAATGTCTTCCTCTGCCATGACCAATCGCCGGAGAATTCACCAATTTCGTCTGGCGATGCCTACGTCAGATCGTCAACTGGGGGCAGTGCCGGAGGCAGTGGCGTACGGACAGCCACCTCCACGCGACTGCATCCGTTGACAAATCCGCGGCTAAAGGATCCGCTATTTAATAATATCGATGCCATGAGCACGAAGGGATTAGGTGAGCTAAACTTAAATACAATTTTAGTTGTTATATTCAACTAAACAATTAAATGATGGTAATTATAGGTACTGCACCATACCGCTCGGCACGCAACCTCAGCAAATCAATCGAGGATGCTGGCAAGCATCAATCCCAGCCTGAATATAATAACATTTGTGATATTGCGATGACGGCCCAGCATCCTCATCAACATCATCAACATCTCAGCCAGCAGCAGCAGCAGCAACAGTTGTCGCAGCAGCAGGAGCCGACGGAGGAGGATGATGTCGATGCAGAGCTAAGCCAGTTGGTGCCGACGCTAACAAATCCGGTGGTGGTGCGACACAACAACAATCAGTTCCTCCAGCAGCAGCAGCAGCAGCAGCAGCAGCAGCAACAACAGCAGCGACATCAGCAACAGCAAAACACCATCCAGGAGCTGTTTAGCAGCTTAACCGAATCCTCGCCTCCAACGCCCACCAAGCGACGTCGGACAGCAGCGGCAATGGCTGCAGGCAGCGCAACAACAACAACAACAGCAACCACTACGCTTAATAGTCATAACAACAATAACAACAACAACAACAACAACCATAGCAGCAACTCCCAGAACCCAACAATAAGCTACAGCGGCAACAGTCAGCGACGCAGCGATGTGCCCATGTATAATTGTGCAATGGAAGATGTAACCACAAACTCTGTGGCAGCAGCAGTATCAGCAGCAGGAGCAGCATCATCATCGAGAGGAGATGTAGCAACATCCTCGGCGATAGGCTCACTGCAAATGCAATTCGCTGCCGTGGCGGATAGCAGCAGTAATGGAGGCGATGGTGGTGGCTATGGCAGCATCGCTGGCGCTGGCGCCAAATCTGATGATAACCATCAGCCCTTCCTGCCGCCCGACTGCGATGCCAACAGCAACAGCAGCAATGTCACGCTCCAGGGCCTCGATGCTCTCTTCAATGACATTGGCTCGGACTGTAAGTATTTTGATCTGGTCTTTAATGTAATCCCTTGTCCCTTTAAAGCGGTCAAAAAAATAGTTAGATTGTAAATTTATCAATATATAGCAATATTTGTGATAAAAACGATTTCACTTTTGTGTACATATGAAATTTACAGATGCAAATAAGCTTACTTACTTTAGGTATTCAAGTTTTTCGGTTTGATATCAGTATAAAAGATCTTTGTGAAAAGAAAATGTCGCGTTGAAAGTTTAAAATACTATTATTTTGACCGCTATTGTAAATATTACAAACCTGATTGATCAATCTATCGTGCTTTTGCAATCGCCGTCCACTCATCCATGATCATTTCTGCATCTGCCTGAGTTTTTGTCTCGTCGCCATGTAAATAATATCAATGAAAAAATGTTGTAATCTTTGTATAAATAACAGCTACAATTATGATGGATTTATTTAAATCCAATAAACCCAAGAGGCACACTTGTCAAGAACTTATTCTGTGACCTGCGTGTATTTTAAAACCGCATCACAGTCTGAGTTCTTGCTGAGCGTGAAATGTAAACCTCAAAGCAACATAAATGAAACAACCTGTGAAAGTAAAAAACAACTAAAAGTGATTTGTATTTAAATAAATATATATTATATTTTGTTTTGCAAACATTTCGGCCAACGAGAATCAGTTCAAAATTGACAATTTGATTTAAGATTAACATTTTTTTGTTTTATGTAGCTATAAGAAGTTTTTGTTTTAAATGTTTGTTTGTAAAACTAACAACATATTTTGCTAAGCAAAGTAATTTATATTATTATAATCAATTTAATACATTTAACAATCAAAATTCCCCTTAAAAATGCTTAGCTTAATATGATTACTAAACCCTTCCCACTTAACCCAAACTAACCTAGTTTTAAGTAGTTTTAAAAGTGTTTTTAACATGTGTTTTATATTATATTAACAAATTCCCATACAAAAACATACTGCTCACATCAACATATTGCTGCTAACCATTTTACTACTAACAAAAATAATACTACAACAAAAGTATTAATAACAACTAAGCATAAATGTGTATATATATATTATATATCGACATAACCCGACGCCTCGTCAGCAAATTCGTTCGTCCTCTCGTGTCAAATTCATTTTGGAACTGAATTCTCGTGGGTCTGCAAGTGCAACAACACTGACCGCTTCCGGGGGCCAATTGTTCATATTTGTGATTGAAATTTTGTAGCACCATGAGATTCAGCTCTGGCGTGAATTTCAAAACATGCATCCACCAAAAACAACATCTCTCGCTCTATTCAGCTCTCCTCTATTCTATATAAAACATATATATGTACATATATGTAAAATCGGCTAATTCAAATCAACATGTTCAAAATAATCTCCTCAAGTCAGCCAAATGATTGAAGCAAATATTAAATGTTTTTTTGTATTTTACATTTACAGATTTCAGCAACGATATTGCCTTCGTGTCCATCAATCCGCCGGACGATAATGATTATCCATATGCGCTCAATGCGCACGAGGGCATCGATCGGCTGTTCGACTTTGGTTCCGATGCCTATGGACCCTAAAAAAAGAGAAGTCCATCACCACACAACAACATGCATACACACACTCTCACACACACACAAGCACACAGCAAATGTATCTACAAAAATTGGGATTCTTCTGGGGGGTGTTTATAATTTTAAATTATATACGAAATGGCAAACAACAAAAATATTAAGAAAACATAAAACCAGCAAATTACAAATTTATTATTAAATTATATAAATTGCAAAAACAAACAAGAAACAAACTAAAAATCCAAAAAGAAAACAAACAAAAAACAAAAATCAGCTACAAAACTTAATGAAACTAAGTTGTGTGTACAAGTTTTAAGCGTAAAAATATTATACATACATTTAAATTTATAACCCAAAACTAATTTAAGCGAAACACAAAATCTACTTTACGAAAACAAAAAACAAAACAAAACAAAAAAAAACTCAGCCTCACAAGGAAAAACGAAGAAGTAAGCAGGAGAGCAACATTTTATAAGCAAATTACATTTTAGCCTTAAAAATAAATCAACAACAAAAATGGGATAAGAATCAGGAAAAGTAATACATAAACCCTGCAAAAGAGCGAATATAACATCCCTTTCCATATTCATCAAATCAATCTTTTTTTGTGGGCTTAAAAACTGTCTGTAAATTAGTAAAATAAAAGCAACACACACACACACAATTTTTAAATAGAAAACAAAATAGTTATAAAGCCAATCAATAATATACAAAATTATAAACAAGAAATAAAAAACAAAATCAATTTCAAATTGTAAAAAAAATGAAAGACGTATGTTTTGCTTTAGCAAAAGGAACAAGGAGAAGACAAAACTTGGGCCCCCTAAATATATTTCCAAAACTCCTTCCTTTCGTCCTTTATCCCTTTTATCCTTCCTTTAGTCCCTCCTTTCGCTACTGTTTTTAGTTACGCATGCAAAAGAACATAATTTGTCATCGTTGTCTCTCTTCTGCAATTTGTTTCATTCGCTTGGATTGATTGATTTTTAATTATTAATATTATTAAAGCTATATAACTATGTATAATAATTTGTTATTGTTATAAAATTTACAACTATAAACACACACACAATGGGCCCAATAGCAGTTTATATTCATAGAAGCCAAATCATCCCACAAAAACAAACAACCAACCACTTAACAGAGTCAACTACAAAGTACATAAATAATTATTTAAAACTCTCGCCTAGAAGTTATATATTTAAATAAAACAAACGATAAATGCAACAACCACAACAACAAACAAATCATACAATGTAAAAAAACAACTAAGAAACAAACAAATAAATGAAAAAGAGAAACCACACTAAAAACTAAAACCCCCTATATAATTGTACGTTTAATTTTTGTAAGAGAAACAAACACATTTTGTTAGGTACTCTTTTCTTTCTTTCCAAAAAAACAAAACACGAGAAAAAAAGAAAATAAATATTAGAAGAAACAAAACGAAGAAAAAAAACTTTAAAATAAAAGAAAAAGTTTTAAAACCAAATAGATATCTTGTTTTCTTAATTAAAATTTTTGAAAGTAGCATTGCAAACTTTCGTTTGCATTTAAAAGCTACAAAAAAATGTTCCAAGACCATTTTATTTTAACAAAATTTAAAACTTAGCATTATTTTTTGACAAGTCCGGTATTGGATAACATTTTGATTTTATGATAGTCTACTACATACAATTTTTGTAAACCAGCTTGTTATGTTTTCATATTTGTTAATACCTTATTTTGTTTTACATTAAAAAATGGAATAATTTTTTTGTTCTATTAAATTTTATTCACTTTCGCATGCAATATTTTTTAACGTTGTTTTTAATCTTTTTCGTTAATTGCACAAATAATTTAATATATAATACGATGTATTTAATGATTTTAAATTGATTGAAAATACTCTTTTGTTTTCAAAATGATTTGCAAGATCCAAATTAGGTAGGAAAATGTTAACCTTTTCATTCAAATCTATTTGTTTGTTTTTATAATAATTTTATTTATCCCTTAGTTTTGTTTGTTATTTTTTACCTCGCTGAACGACTAATAAAGCCTTATTTATAGAATATTGGCAAATTTTAAAAACCGCGCGGAACTTTATCTTTCCCATGACACATAGAGGACGCCACTTCCTACCTCTGGCGGATGGCAATCGCTGTATTTCTAAGGCGTTATCTTTTCATATTATTTTTTATTTTGTTGTAACGTATTTGCACCATGACGCCCCCTTGCAGTCAATGTTAAAAGTTGCCTTACAACATGACACACGTTATGTAAAATGTAATGAAGCAACTAAATTAAAATGTTTTTGTGCATTGTAAAACGAGGAACTTACATATTTACTTACTTATTATTAATACAATATAAATTTGGTATGTTATAAAACAACGACCTAATTGCATCCGATACTTAATATTGAAAGCAGTCATTATAATTATATTTTGAATTTATATTGTATGCTCATCAGCACCTTTTCTTAAGTATCATTTCACACGCACTTCTCTGTTAACCTCTTTAATTTTTTTAAATTCACCCGCAAAATTCTGTTAAAAAAATACCAAAGAAATATATTAATATTGTGGTATTTTGATATATTTGCGACAACACAAAACCGACCGACACCCGACAGCACCCGAGAGAGAGTTCTGTTAACTAACATCCACCCGACAGCACCCGAGAGAGCAGAGAGCGGCCATGTTACGAATTTTACATTTTACATGAGAATTCGACCCCAAAACCGAGAATTCTAACCCAAAAGTAAGAATTCGACCCCATGTAAACGTGTAGAATCATCGTTTTGACGTGCCAGATGTAAAATGTTAAATCAAAATTCAGAGTGACCAAAAGCAAGTAACAAAAATCACCGAAAAAGGGAGGCAAAATATCATGGTAAATTTTCAACAACCCAACACATGCACACTTTTTATTCGCGGTTGTAACGGGAAGAACGGAAGAATTTCGCAGCAAAAACAACGTCGCGCCGCCGGAAGACCGGAAAATTGTGGAAGCCAGATTTCCCGCTTGCCGCTGAAAGTGTTTACTTTTCTGAACGAAAATACGCGTATTGTGCAAAACAAAATAATAAAACGTCGTTGGAGGCGATTGTCTGATACGGATACGGTGTGAAACGAATGGGCGGTATTTGGTGCACTTTAATGAATAAGAAGAGAGCTATCAAAATACCAGAAGTGTTTGTGAAAACCCGGTGGAATATATGAAATTCCACGGAATACAAGTGCGGGCGTTTTCTCGAGTGTATTAGTGTGTGTGTGAGGTGTACGGGAGTGTGCCTATGTGTGTGCGAGATCTACGGTAAATAAATAAATAAAATTGTGTACACAGGCACACATTAAAATATATGCACATACATACAGAGCATGTTGTGAAGTTGCGGCGCAAAAAGAAAGCACGCGAATAAAACATAAGAAAATTTTAATTACGCCTGCGTCTGGGAAAGTGCGTCGTTCTATTTTGAAATCGATACCAAAATAAAGTGTAACAAAAAATACACAAGTGGCGAGGACGAGAAACAGCAAAAACAACAATGTTCGACAACAATCACAATGCAAAGAGGTAAGTTAGCATGAATTAAGGGGAAGAGAAATAGAAACATAAAACAAAACGAGAAATAGTAGTGAGAAAACGTAACTAGAAAAATACTCGACTGAAATTACTACGCAGCAGCAATTTATGCCAAGTTGTTTTTGCTTTCGTCTCCTTTCCCTCCTCCCCCTTTTACGCGCCCTGTCTCTCTTGTTCTTGTTCCGTTTGTTGTTGTTCCATATCTATCATATCTTGGGCCAGTTGTTGTTTCCTCCTCCTCTTCTTCTTCTTTGCACCGCTTTACGTTTTGTGAATGAGCAGCGCAGCCAGCATAGTCGCTGGCTCTCGCTCGCACTCATCCTCTTGGTCGCACCCGGTTGCTCGTACTCCCTCTCGCACTCTGCTCTCGTTCTCTCTTCCTCTGTCGCGGGCGGAGAGAGCAATGCTTGCGCCTGCGTGAGAAGAGAGAATGGAAATAAAAAATGTAAGAATGTCGATTGCTGCCGGTTTTTTTTTCGAATTGCTTTGTTGTTGTTTTCTTTGTTGCACGCATTTTGCGGTTCAGATAAATTACCAATTAAATAAATCCCGCATTAGACTGATGTTATTGGGTCTTATAAATATGTTTTCAAAGAAAAGATTGTATTTTCGTGTTGATTACCAATTAATGAAAGTCGTGAGTTAGTTGAATTATTATTGAATTAATCTTTTATTTCTTTGATAATTATAGTTGATAGGCTTGGGATTTTCTATTTTATTCACAAATTATTAAAAAAAAAAAAAAACTAATTACAATATAAATTAATATATTTAGTATTGCCTCGCCTCTTCAATCAAAACCATGTCTGTAAATTTGTAACATTTGTAATCATTTTTCTCATCAACATATTTTTGTGCTTAGTCACCTGTTGATTTGTCAAGGTTTTCAGTTCATCAGTTTATTTTTTTTATTATTTTAAATGTTTTTGTTGGGTAAAAATGTTGTTTACGCTGATATTAATGTGTTTAATTAACTACAAAGTTGCTCAGCACATAATTTTATTGGCTGTCAAAATGACATGACGGTGCATTTTTCGTTCTGTTTTTGGTTTGTTTTCTTAATAAGTGTGACCAAATTGTCGGGTTTCAGAGTCCCCATAAAATGAGTTGTCCTTATATGCGAATAACTGGATATTTTTATGACCAGGCTTTTGTATCTGTCAATTATTTGTGGAAACTATTGTGGGAAATAAGGTCGTTATGATTTTGTGTCTTATTTGTAATATGGGTTCTTGTAAATTTATTTTGTTATTGTTACTTTAATCATATGATTAAAAGAAAATTAAATAGTTCTTGATCTTAAAACTATCTTAAAAAGTAAATTAATACTTATTTGTAGGTTTATTTTAAAATAAACAGTTACAATCTGTTTTAATGTGGAGCTTTATCATAAAACTAAATTGATCCTTTTTATTTAAACAGTATGAAAGATTGCTAAACAAGGAAACTGTACTGAAATGAAACCGTACTTAATGGGAAATAGGAAAAGCATTTTCACACTAATAACTGGCATTGGGGGGGGGAAATATATGTATACACTGGGTTAGG